TACGTTAATGGGCAAACCGAAGAGTACCGTGGTCCTGAAGATGACAACTTCGACATTCTTATAGTAACATCTAGATTGATCTATAGCGACCAATGTATGATGTATCAATGAGTGTCACTGCGCTAGTTGAGATAGCTTTAATAAAATAACTATATCTCCTCAATCAAGCAAAATCGTCCGACAAAATGCATGTATTTCTGAATCTAGAGATTCAGCTGGATCGAATGGCATATAGAAATCGATATATCACTGGGCAATCCTGAGAATACGGTAGACTTGAAGGTGGAAACCTGTATAGCTTTGAGGAAGCATTAAGAAAACAGCTGTATCCTGAATCGAATGGTGTATATATACATATATATCAATATGTTACTAGACAAACGTGGAAGAACCGTTGGCTCAGATAATTTTGATAGTAGTAGTGACGATATTCCTCTAGATTTATTTGTGTCAATGATCATGCCACACACATCAAACGTGTACAGTTTTGCTGTATTATAGAGTGTTGGCTCATGTAGTTCGGCATGAAGTTGGGTCGGGCGCCGAAAATCGGTCGCAAGGACCTATTCGATCAGGAGCAATCAAGGAGCCAACCCGTTTCGGTAGTAACGACCGAAAACGAAAGGGCTCTTCAATCGGTACCAAACAATTTGCTCGTTCATCAATATCATAGTGATTATGAACGCAGTAATCAAATTTATACGGTCTCGAGGGTATAATTAAACTTAAAGTGAAATATGCGTGAATATTGTGTGCGATGGAGATTTTTTGTAGAATTTTATATTCTGGTTGAAATGTGTAATGCAATTCACTCTAAATTTATGTTATATTGACTTTGAATTCATGCCAAGGTGACGTCATCTTTTGGATATGCTAAATTGAACGTATTGTGGTCTGAGAACAGCTGATTGATTGAACAGCTGGCGCAATCGAATAAGTCTTTTCTTGAGGATAGACGACTTTCAAGGAGATTTAATATGTTCTTATTAAGATTATTGTTATTATTATTGTTGTTATTTATTATTATCAGTATTATCAATAATTAATTTATCATTAGGTATATTAGAACAATTACATTGATGTACGCTTGTGGGTTGATCGTTGTGATAATTTGGTATTTTGATAGTAGTTATGCCGTTTCGCAGTCAAGTTTAGCGTGTGGAGGTAAACTTTCTAAAGTAATTTCTTAGTAAAGTCTTCTTTAGTAATTTCTTACTTCGACTATTTATTGTTATTATTTTATTTATACTGTTTTATGAGATATATTTCATATTTATGATACAATTGTTTATTATAGCATGCTCTTTAATAATAAACGAATTGGAAGCGGGTATAGCGAGTGTGGATTCGGGTAAAAAAATTCAAATTGGTAGTTTTCGAGTCGACCCGAAGGGTGATCAAAATGGTCTGAATGAGGTGTGTTATGCTTGAATGTTAATTTGTTTCATTTTCGATATTATTCCTCATAAAAGCATTATTTCATTCTCATCACGGTATTATTTTATCATCTTCAAATCAATTCTTGATTCTTATTATAGCAGTGTTACGAAGATTTTCAGGTGCAGTTTGCCCGTTCA